CAGTGACGATAGGGGCTGGATTGAAGAGGGAGTGTGTCTCCACTTTTCACTTCTGTGCAGTTATAGCACAGCCTTAATCCCAGCACCCAGGAGGCAGAGGCAGGTAGATCTATTCAAGGTTGAGGCCAGCCTGGCCTGGAGTGGGTTCTAGGACGGCCCCAGCTACATAGCGAGACCCTGACTAGAAAAACAAACCAGCATGTATTTCCTGCCGGTGAAGTTACGCGTTGTTTGGTCACTGTGAGAATATCAACTTTAAGGAAGAAAGGTTTGTTTTGGCCCTGGCATCAGTTGGTCCAGCCCGTGGTCAGCTGTGGTGAAACAGCGTCATGACAGAAGGGCATCGAAGGGGGCAGCTGACAACCAGCCGCAGGAAGGGGCGGGGAATAGAACATACCCATCCGGATCTCCCTCACTCACCCGCCTGCTCACTCAAGCTCCGCCCCGCCCTCCAGGCCCCACCAGGACCCCCAAACGCTGTCAGGTTACCACTGCGACAATGGATTCATCCAGGCGCTCCATGCGAACCCTGCGATGCAGTCACGTCCTAAAAGCCTCACCTCTGCTCAGGGCTGGTGCCAGGAGCCGAGCCTTCAGTCCTCAGGGAGCTGCCCGTGCCCAAACCACGCTGCTGTTCACCGCCCCTGCCATATTCGCTCTCTCCGAAGGAGCGAGCATGGGAGCAGGGGAGACAGCACGGCACATACAGAAAGATGTGGGGCTCTGTCCCCAGGAGGCTGCCCCCATTCCCCGCTGTGCCCCCCCCCCCCCCCCCCCAGGCCCCCCCCCCCCCCCCCCGGCCCCCCCCCCCCCCCCACAGCACCAAGCACCCCCCCCCCCCGCTGTGGCCCCCCCCCCCGAAAATGGACTGACAACTCCCAGAGCTTTGCCTGCACCTCAGCAGGTGTGTCTTGTGAAATTCCTAAGATGTAGCAACACAGACAAGGCTAGAAAGGACTGGCCGAGCCCAGCCAACAGGCCTCTCGGCTTCTAAATGGGAAAAGCGAGAGCCAGGGAGAGGCAGTGGCTCACCTGAGCACACAGCAGTGAGGGCCGGGAGATGGAGATGGTCCTCGTGTTTCGGGACACCTGAGGGACGCTGCACTCGCTCGCTGGAGGGCAGATTCTCTGGACTCTTGTGCAGGCCCGTTTAGCTGCCTCTAAGGTGGGGTTAGCAATCGCTGCGTTCAGAGTCCTCACGGGATTCCAGGGCAGCCGATCTGGCCTTCCTTAGAAACTGGCACGAGCTGCCCTACGGGCCAGATCCATGTTGCCATCTGTGCTGTGTGGCCACTCGCTAAGTTTAGTTTATTCCCAAATACTTGGATGTGGGGGAAATTGGCGTGTCCATGCAGCTCGACAGAAGTGCAGCCGTGTGTTTACACGTCAGTGGCCTCTGTGCCCCTCAGCGCACAGCGCTGCTTAGCACCTGAACACCTACAGAGAATGCCTGCCTGCCGGCACATCCCGGTCTCCGCGTGTCCCGGGAGCCCTGTAAAGCCCAGTGTTCACTGGGAAATTCCTGAGCTCTGAGCACAACGGGTGTTGTCCATACGCCCTCTTGCTTTATCCAGAAGGCGTGTTTAAGAAACACTTCATGCAAATTACAGGCAAATCTAATTATTTTCAGGATAGAGTAAATTACAGAGCTTCTGAACGTGTGGAGGATGTGCGTTTGTTTAGGGAGCTGGGTGTGCAGAAGATGATTCTCACTCACTAGAGAAAGGGCCTTTACGGGTGGGATGGGGAGGATAAAGGCTGTGAGGGTCGAGAAAGAAGTAATGCTAAAAGTTGTCTTTATTTCGTGTGCAACATTGTCTCAGTCGTGAAAGTTATACTTCATGAGTGAAAATGTAACTGGTAAAGTGTTTGTTTCCTAACCAGTCTTTTAAAAACTCTGTAGAAGTCCCTGGCTTTCCCCAACATCTGTTTTCTGGTTCATCACCAGAAGCCCAGCTAGCTTTTCAACTGATATGTCCTCTGATGCCTTCTTTTCCCCCTTCTCCCACCTCAGATAACAGATTGTTCATTAGCCAACAGACAGCATTTATTGAGCACCTTCTGTGTGCAGATAATGGCTCTGTAATAGGAAACGCCTCCCATGTGATCAACCCAAGAGAAAGAAAATGAAGGGCAAAGAGAGTAGGTTTTGTTGTTGTTGTTGTTTAAGTCTCATTATTTGTCTTAAGGGAGCAGGCAATCTCGTAAAGGTGAGCTTTAGGTCCTGCTGCATGGGCCAGTGGTTTTGTTGGTTTGGTTTGGTTTTTTCCCCACTCTTCTTAGATGCTCTACCCAGGAGCTTGAATTTCCCATTTACCAGAGAACCCATCTCGTGTCAACTTCTGCCGTGCAGTCATGAAAGCACCACCCAGTCTGGCCCCAGAGAGGAGGTAAAGAGGCTCTGATCTTGGTGCTCTGCGGGGGGGTGGGGGGCGTGGGGGAGGACCCTCTGTGGTGGTTCCTCTCCTGAGCACCTGTGAACTGCTCACAGGCTACTAATCCCTTCTTACCCGTACTCCAGGGGAGTGGCTGAGGTTGAATGAGGAGGGTGTTTGAAGGCCTGGCATTGCACAGAGAGAGTTGCTATGGAAACACAGAGGGGCTCAAGTACTTCAGAAGGAGGGAGTATTGTGGCCCATTTATTTCTTCGGGAAGCCAAGAAATGGAAGAGCCAAATCTGTGCCCTTGACCTGTTTTAAGCTAACCCCAGATCTTCCTAGTTGCACCTGCTTTTAGGATAGGGCTTTCTCTGGAGATTATAACTGAATCTGTACATACTAGTGTCAGAAGAGTGGTTAGCACAGCACCGTACCAGACCTGGGATGGGCGGGAGGGCATTCCTAAATGAAAACAGCTGCACACCAAAGCTGCTTTTCTTCCGGGAGAGCCTGGTGACTCTGGCAGATGAAGAGAGTATAAAACAGGAGATAAGAGGAACGGGACTCTAAAAGCACTCTGCTGGGCACTCTTTGGGAGTATGTGCGCCGAGCAGGGTACTGAACTGCACGAGGAACTGAGAGTGTGACTCTTGCGTCTGAAAGAGTCAGGCTGAGTCTCCGGAAGGCGGGCAGAGGAAGGGGAGGGGGCTGCTGCCCTGGGCCCCAGCTGGCGTGTGTTAGGTTAGACCTCGTGCCGGCATCTTCGTTAGATCTTAGATGCTGGGTTTTGATGGAGGCATTCTACTGCCGTCACTGTGTGCGACCGCCTGTCTGAGCAGGCTGTGTACCCTGTCTCAGTTTTCCTGGTTAAGCTGTCTTTGTACTTCTGGGCTGTATCTCGTGTGGTCAGATACTCAGTCCTTTGCGGGCTGAGAGATCTAATTCTGGTATTTTTGCTGAGGCCCTTTATGCCCGTACTAATGAAATTCTCTCAGTCTAGAGCCTTCTCTTCCTGTGACGTCATTGCCTGCTTCTGTATAAAGTAACCTTAGAGAGTGAGTTGGGAATTATTCCTCTCTCTTCCATTTTTTTTTTTTTTTTGGAAGAGTTTGTGCTAATTCTTTAAACATTTGGTAGAATTCATTAGTGAAGCCATCTGGTCCCTGGGCTTTTCTTTGTGGGGGTTCATTTTTTAATGCATGGCACAGAAGGGTATTTATAGTAGTCTCACTTGAGGGAAAGACTGTTTAAGGCTAGATCTGTGCGCTGGTACTTATAAAGAAAAATTCTGGAAGGATATAAAAAAAAAAAAACTAGCCAAAATATTAGCACTGGGTAATAGAATGGAACTTAATCTAGTATTTTTAAATTCTAGGCATACTTCATCCACAATAAAACACGATTTTAAAAGACCCCTTACAAGTGTCTCCCACTTGGCTCTCTGCTGTCTGTGTTTGTGCTGGCCTGACCCCCACAGGGACTCCCGCTTTGGCAGCCCCTGCGTCTGTCCCCAGCGCCCTCTGCCCTCTTCTGTCCTCTGTCAGGTTGTGCTCAACCCTGCCTGCCGTGCCGCTCCTTTTCCTGGCCACCCGTCAACCTGCTCAGTCAGTTTCTTTAGTTCCTGCTTTTTCTCTGGACACCTCCTGCTGCCTCTCCTTTTTCACCACCCACAGGCAGGCTGGGGTAGCGGGGTCTCTCCTGTCCTGCAGCCTCTCATCGTTTTCTTTTGAACTTCGTACTTACCCACCATCATGACTGTAGGGCCACACACGTCCTCCTGTAAAGTTCCGTTGAATTCTGTGTGTCGTCCGCCCCCCCCCCATCTTACCGTGGTGCTTGGCCGGGTAGGTGGGCAGTGTGAGCCCTGAGATGCGTGTGACTGTCGCCTGCTCCAGGGACATAACGCAGTCTGGGTTGGTGGGAAGATTCGTGCTGGCAAATACAATTGAGTGCTTTTGGCAAGGTTGGTGCTGGGAGCTCTAGAAGCCAGACCGAGCAGATTCGGTGAGTAAATATTGAATGAAGTGTTCAGCCTCCTTGCTTCCTTCCAGTCTCCGCCCGGCTCTCTTTTCCGCACAGGCTGACTGGCCATCTGACCAGTCCTTCACTGTGGTCTTCTCTGCGCCGACTCTTTCCCTGCCCTGACGGCCCTGTCTTCTCTGTGTCAGGGTCAGCATAGCTGACCTCCTCGCATTCACACTGACTGTCTTCCTGGTTGGAATGTAAACTCCTCAGACAGGGACTACCTTGTTCCTCATCAACTTCTAAACACCTGCAACCGTGCCCGACACGAGCCCTTCTTAGCCACAGTTCCTGAGACAGTGAGCCTGAAATGAGTGAACTTTAGTTCCCTGCCCGGACTTGGCAGAGACAGTTCGAAATTATCCAAGTGCGAACCTGCTAATCTCACGGCCCTGTTTAAATGCAGCCTGAGGCCGGGTGCTGGCATGGAGGGGACAGAAGCTGTTTGGCTAAGGTCTTTGTTTGTTTGTTTTGCCTTAAAAGCCAACCGGGAGCAAAGTTCAAAGTATCTTTATGTGAGTTTATTCCTGACCCAGGAAAATGTTTTGTGCGGTGACTAGTGCTCATGTTTTAATGATCTCTCCTTTTCTTTCTCCACAGACCTTTGTAGTATTAAACAGAGGGAAAACTCTCTTCAGATTCAGTGCCACGCCCGCCTTGTACATTCTCAGTCCTTTTAACCTCATACGAAGAATAGCTATTAAAATTTTGATACATTCATATCCTTTTCTGCTGGGAGCGGGTGCTGCGGGGCTGTGAGCGTTCGAGGTGCCGACAGCTGTGCTCTGTACTCTCTCCCCAGGAGTGTCGCTGCCCAGCCCGAGGGTTAGAAAGAAAGTCCAGCCAGACCCAGGAGGCGCTTCTGCAGACCTGTTCTTAAAAACATGGCGGAAGTCTAGAACTTTGTTGGTGTCATTGTGAGGGGCAAATTAAGATGTTTTAACCTGGTACTGAAGTCTTGGCTTTTTAACACTTTCATTCCATGATAAATTTAGCTTGTTAATGTATTCATGTGTGATATAAAAACTTTTTGCAAACTACATCTTTAATCACAAATAGCAGAATGAACGCTTTAGGGTTGGTTTTGCTTGTTTGTTTGCTAGAGAAGGAGATTACAATGTACCTGGTATTTCTCAGATGACATCAGGTCCCTGGCACAGAGAGTCAGACACAGACTGGATAAACAGGGATGTTTTCTGAGGTTTGCCCTCTGCTTAAGTAGGGAAGCGCCAACCTTTGCGTCCTACGAATACAGAGCGTGGGACAATGGCAGGAGATCTGATGGTTAGCAGCCTGGAACTGCGGCTAAACGTGAATGACTGAATGACGGGGACTTCACTTAACGGCGCTTGGCCCCGGGCATCAGCGGGTGTGACGCCCTCCAGGGAGGCCAGGGAAGCCAGCAGGTGCAGCTCCACCTTGTGGAACTTGCTTCACCTGGTTGTGAGGTCAGGAGGTTTGTAAGGAATGGAGATTTGCAGCGGACTGTGTCCACCCCGGGCTGGAGGGGGGCGTGTCTGTGTCAAGTACCCTAAAGGCTGTTATTTCCTGCCCCGAGATCACTGCAGCTGCAGAGAAGAGAAAAGCCCACCTAGAGGCAGCAGCTTCCTCAGCGCTCCTAGGAAGGTCAGGATGGGGAGTAACACCTGCGGGGAAGTGAGTTTGCGGAATGTGAGCTCTGCCCTCACGCAGTTTGAGAACTCCTGCTGGCTTTAAAACGGGTTCGTTTCTCTCAATAGACAAGAACAGAAAGGGCTGAGAGGGATTCTGGACGGCCAGGCCACCTCCTCAGTGATCACCCTCTTACCTGTCTCAGGACGGCTGGGGCACAGGGACCCAACAGGCCACACTGGTTTTCAGGCTGGACACAGCCAGCGCACGGTGGCTGGACCGTGGCTCATAGAGACACGCAGCCCGTTGGAAGACCCCCGAGGAAAGTGAAGCATCAATTACGTGTGATTTCAGATAACTAATTAAGCAAGATAATTAACAAAACGTGAATACTGGGTGAGGGGTGGGAGGTGGATTTACTCTCTCCCCTGGTGGCCCTGGAGTCTTTGGTCACTCGCAGCAGCTGTTCACACGTTTTAAGTATTGACATGTTTCTCCATGGTCGGCATGGACAGAGGCGAGTGTGTCCAAAAGCAGTGGGCAGCGGCAGTCCTGCAGGCAGGGGACTGTCGGCCCGTCCAGCCAGCTACCGGTCAGGTGGGGTGCCCGGCTTTTCTTGTGGTGATTTAGGTGGCCGGTTTCCTCCCCTTCCTTGCTGGCGTGTTTCGGGGTCAGGCCGGACCTCGTTGGCCCCTTAACTCCTGCCCACAGTGTTCAGCATGATCATCATGTGCACGATCCTGACCAACTGTGTGTTCATGACCTTCAGCAACCCCCCGGACTGGTCCAAGAATGTGGAGTAAGTGGCCTTTTCCTCCAAGACTCACGCAGGGAGAGGAGAGAAGGAGTGACCGAGGCAGTGGTGGGGGCGGGCCGCCGAGGTAACGTGGATCTAGTGACCCGAGAAGTGGGCTCTGGAAAGCCAGGCCCTGCCGAGGGCCTGCCCGGCCCCTGCCTGGCAGGGCCTCTGCCATCCTGTGTCCTCCTTCCTCCGAGGCTGAGAGAGCCCTGGGGGCCTCCTTGCCCGTTCTGGAGTCATCCTGGTGTGCTCTGAGCACCAGTGGGGCCCTAATGTGGCACCCCGCTTGCTGCGGGTGCGTCGGTGGGCCTCGGAGGGGCCCCGCCCTCCGCTGCCAGGCGCCCTCTCTATCCTGTGTGTGGTGAAGCTGTGCCCTGTGCAAGTGCCACCTCCAAGGGCTCTGTGAACGCTTCCGTTGGGAGTAACCTCAGCTATCCGTATCCCTGACAGGTACACATTCACAGGGATTTACACATTTGAATCACTAGTGAAAATCATCGCAAGAGGTTTCTGCATAGACGGCTTCACCTTCTTACGAGACCCGTGGAACTGGCTAGACTTCAGTGTCATCATGATGGCGTGAGTCCCTTGTTTATTTTCCTGCTTTCTGGATGTGACTGTGTGTGTGTGTGTGTGTGTGTGTGTGTGTGTGTGTGTGTGTGTCCTGAATGGGCTTGGGTGATGGTGTAAGTAAATATGAGTTTGTGGAGGATTCTTCTTTTTCTTTTTCTTTTTTGAGTAGGGTCCTTGGCTCACCATATGGCCAAGGCTGTCTTGAGCTCCTGATCTTGCTACCTCAGCCTCTAAGTACGGGGGTTACAAGCTTGTGCCATGACATTTGGCTGCAGAATGGACAAGTCCTGGGTAACTGCATCTGACCCACAGGCTTTTGCCCAAGGTTCTTGTTTGCAAGGCCTTCACGTGGGGGAGTGAAGACTTGCTGTAAGGCTGGCAGGACAGTGGGCCGCAGCTTCCCCTGACATGCCCTCATTTTATTCCTTTTTATGACACAGGGAGCCTCTGTGAAGGCACGAAATATTTTGGGTGTGAACTTTTGGCTTAAAATGCACTTGAGACCTTTGACTCAAGACCTAAGCCCAAGTGTGCAGACTGGCACATCCAGAAAAGTTACTAGCCAGAGTTCCCAGAATTCCTGCTGGTGGCTGCGGTTCTGCACAGGTGTGCCGAGTGCATCCAGCCGTTCCTTTGCTCTAGTTACAAATGTGTCCATTTGAGGACGTTGGCTGCTGGTGGCTGTGGTGCCTTTATTTTTGTGTTAAGGAAGCACTTTAAGGGGAGATGGGAGCGGGCGTAAGTGTGTGAATAAAGAGGTGTGAGAGGAAGACAGCGTGTGCGAGTGTGGGCCTGAGCATCAGGAGGAGAAACGGGAGCGAGCGGTGTGCGCTGGGTGTCTGAAAACAAAAGTGACTCTCAGCTCTGTGACAGTCTCTGCTCGCTAACAGTGCAGAGTGTACATTGGTATGCATTTAAAATCTCTGTGACACAGGGCTGGTGATAACTCGATTTTTGCTCCAATCTCATGAGCTGGATTTTTTTTTTCCTGGAGCGTTGCTTTTGTCTGTTTCAGGGTAGAACTTCACCCTCAGACATGGCTGCAAACACTCAGGTGACTGCTGCCGACGTCATAGATTCTGCCTCGCAGGCTTTGTGGCCGCAGTCAGCCAGGGCCACTTTAATGTGAACTTGTTTTTGTGAGGCTCTTGTCACGAAGCAGACTGTTTCCATTCGTGAGGTTCATTAAACTGGGAATCTCAGTCTTTGACACTTGGCTTTCCCTCTTGCTGAGCTGAGGGGAAAGTCACTCTGGTGGAATCAGAACGCCACACCCCAATTTACGAGGAAGCCCCAGAATGCCCTGGGCCATCCGTCCTTTAGAACATAATTCTGAATTCTTTTGCCCATGTTTTTAAAAATATGTGTCCTTAAAGGTTTATATTTTAAAATTTGTCTTTTTCAGGGAGACAAAGTAAAAGCATAACTTGTATGTAAGACACCCCCCACCCCCTCGGCCAGCGGCACCTTTACAAGTTAACCCTGGTTTGATCCTGCAGGCATATAACAGAGTTTGTAAGCCTAGGCAATGTTTCAGCTCTGCGCACACTCAGGGTGCTGAGGGCTTTGGAAACTATTTCGGTAATCCCAGGTAAGATGGTCCGGGCTTGGTGTCAGGTGTTGGGTTAGGCCCTGATGTGACGTATTGTACTTTTTGTTTTGTTGTGATCTTGTTGTTTTTTCCTTTGATGTTTGTGTTGTATTTGTGTTTGTCATTTGTGTCTGTGTGTGACTTCCCTTACTGCAGATATGTGACAGAGTTTGTGGACCTGGGCAATGTCTCAGCGCTGAGAACGTTCAGGGTTCTCCGAGCTTTGAAAACTATCTCTGTGATTCCAGGTGAGCAGATGTGTGCACAAGACCGGTTTTCCCCACTCCTGTTTCCTTCCATTCCTCTGTCTGCCATTTGAAGCTGGAATCGGCATGTGTGAAAGGACCTTGTTGCGCTCTGCATGCTTTCCCTGAGAAATCTGGAATGGCCCCATGGTCCTTAGGCAGACTTCCCTGACCAATGCTTGCTGGCATGCAACCCTCATCCCGTCCATGTGTCTGAAACAGCACACACTTACAAACCTTTCGGGCCTTACCACATCTGAGGAGAGGCGCAATGGAGCGAGCCGTGTCTTTGTATACGAGTCATTTGAATCACGGCCTCGTGGAATTACAGTGACTTTAACCTCCACTGCCATCCCATTGCTTGTGATTCTGGACTTCCTGTGGCATGGTCTGCCAATAGCGTGTTATCCAAAGACTTGTGCTCCCTCGGGTGCCCTCGGGTGCCTGCCAATGTGACCATTCATCAAGGATCAACCTACTCAGACTAGTTAAAATTTAAGTCTTGGAGTCAGTAAGCCAAAAGTGCACCGTTGCGGTCTCGTATTCTACAACTGTCTGCCCCGGCACAGCGAGACTGGATGGACGTCTGCCGTGGGCAGGCTCAGGGGTCACTCTCGGGTGTGAGGCCCTCTGAAAGCATGTACACGTGCTGACGTAAAGCCGCAGGTAAGATATAAACAAAAAGCCGAGAAACTCAAAGGGACAAAAGGAACGAGAAAGTGGGTTGAGAAGGGGTTGAGTGACAACCTCTTAACATTTTTGCCTTTTTGCCTGGCCGAGCTAGCCTAGGGTTCTAAATCCCTTGAGACCCAGATGCAACTTCACAGGCACCCCCACTTCCCATCACCACCCATGCACCCCGGGTTAAGAGTATGTAATTGAAATCATCACACCTGGGCAATGAATGACCTTTCTAAGAATGAGGCTTGAAATCTAGAAGGAAAGACAGGCTTAGGTTAAAGCTGGCAGTGACCAGGCAGAGGTGAAGGCTGATGATGGTGCTCTTTGGCCTTTAGCTGGGGTCAGGGGGAGGAAGGGAAACTCCCCTGGTGAAAACGAGGTGCTGGGTGCCGTATTCTGAGCGCATGGTCCATCCGTGTGGCTGATTTCAGAAGCACTTCTTTTTCCTCTGGCCAGCCTCATGCCAGTGTCCCTGGCTGGGGAAACGGGGAGACAGAGTTGTGAAGAGGATAGGCTGGGGTCTACCAGGATCCTGGAGGGTGGTGACCCCCCAGGCAGCCTTGTTCTGCGTCAGCTGGACCACCGGAACCTTCCTTCGTTTTCCCTTTCTCTCTCCTCTTCCACATGGTCCTGGGTTTCCTGTTCCTCTCTCCCCAGCACGCTCTGCAAGGCATCTGTCCTTCTATGCTCTTGTGATCTCAAAACTCCTCTTTCAGAATTAAATTGGAGAGCTGTGTTCTCTCACTAACTGGGGCAGTGATGCTATCCCCAGCCTGGCTCATCAGGGCTGTTTTCGTCTCTGCTGTAGGGTTCGCTTCGAAGCTGGGCATTTCTGCAAAGTAATTCTTGTCAGAATTAGTACTCTCTGGCTTGTGCGCGCGCGCGCTCATGGGAGTTTGTGCATGGGTGAGAGTCTGTGTGCCTGTGTTTAGTGTAAATATACAGTGTCTAGAGCACAGTGCCTGGCTCACAGCAGTGCTGCATAAACCATTGTACTAGAGGCACTTACGGTAAAAAAAAAAAGCCCAGCGAAAGATTGGTGTCAAGACTTAGACACGAGCTTCAGTGTCTGGGGTGGGTCCTCGATTCCTCGCTCTGTGGGTGCCCGGGGGAGCTTCGGAGTGCGACTGCTGTGGGCACTAGCCTGAAGGCAGTGACGCCAGCAACAGATGGCTGTCAGGAAGCAGCTTCGAGCTTTTTGGCTTTGAGGTCCAGCCCCTTGCTCGCCATTCTTACTGTTGAGTGTTAGCGAGAGAAGCCGGCGGCTGGCGTCCTGTGGGGTTCTGAGCTTGTCTGTCATTCCCCAGAGAGCCGCAGGCCTACTACCTACAGGTTACCCACATGCACGCCGCTCCGGTTCCAGGCCGTGGCGCTGGGACACAGGACTTCCCAGTGAGACCCAAAACCGGGAATGCAAGTTCCGAAGGACTTTTGCTCCTCACTCCTACTGCCCGCAGTTCGGATCTTGGGCTTTTCCCGAAGCCGCCAGGACTACAGGGAGGAATTGCCAGGGCATTTGTTACTTTTCTGGCTGTTGTGAGAAACATCTGAGGAGCTTTGCCTTGTCTCACGGTCTGGAGGAGCACAGTCCCTCAGTCCCTTGTGGTGGGGAAGGCGTGGCGACAGGACCTTGAGGTCACGCCCGACCTCAGTGACCCTGCCTGGGTCACAGACACTCAGAAGTGTGTTTCTGACATGATCCTGTCAGGTTGACGATCCAGGCTGGCCGCCTCGGAGCGCAGCCACAGAGGTGACATGGCGCCTGTGCGACTCACGGCTGTCTATACCTCAGCTGCCTTTGTGAGAAAAGCTTGCTGAGAGCCTTCACCCTTCACCCCATCCCCGCCAGGGCCAAGGCTTGCTTTATTTATTTATTTGTTTGTTTGTTTGTTTGTTTATTACTTTGTTTTGCATTTTGGTAGCTGTTTTGAATATGCTGGTCAGCCAGGACTCTCTTAGGTTACATCAACCTTCTATATAAGAAATGCTTCGCCCGAGACCCTGCATAGCACTTTCAAGAGACCGAACTGTCATCCTGACCCTTCTTATTTGGTGGCTCAAGACCAGGACCCAGGCCACTGTGGCTTCCTGTTGGCCTCAAAGGCGTCCTCTTGGAGAACAGCAAACGCCCTCTGTGCTGAGAGTCGTCTACGCTCTCTGGGGCAGAATGAGTGAGGCTCACCTTGACGTTCATGTCTTAAACCTTTGTTTCCACCGGGAGAAACTGCCTCTGCAGCATCTGCCCCACGCCTGTGATCAGGGCAGGCAGAAGGTGACACTTCCGAGCGAGTCACTTCTCCCTGGGCCCCGATGACTAAGAAGTGAGGTCAAAAGTGCTGGGACCAAAGATGTGTGTCCCCACCACCAGGGTGATCGCTTATTTTTAAATAGTCAAGTTTTAAATCTTGTTGCTTTTGTGCTTCTCTTCCTTCTACGTTGAATATTAAGGAAAAAGAACCAAAATGTCATAGTGGTCCTCAGTAGAAAAGGAGGAGGAGAGCCGGCATTTGCAAGAGGAAAGTGAGGAGGCGGCTCTCTCCCAGGCTGGCTGGCCTCACGGCCCCGGGAGCGCTCCTTTCTCCCCCAGGCTGGCTGGCCTCACGGCCCCAGGAGCGCTCCTTTCTCCCCCAGGCTGGCTGGCCTCACGGCCCCGGGAGCGCTCCTTTCTCCCAGGCTGAGAACCGCTCCTGCCTGCTGCCGAGAGTGATGCCAGGACGAATCCTGTGGGAAACTGGCTCAGCCCAGTTACACTTCCCAACCTGAGCGACAGGCGGGAGTGTGAATTAACTTCACTTACAATTGGGCCGTTACAGCAGCAGACTGTGTCCAACATGCATGGCCGATCTCTCTGGACACAGCACGCAGGCCGGCTTTGTTCATCTGGTCCAGGGGTTTCGGGGGATCGCATAAGGTGACAGGAGGATCAAAAGTGCCTTTGGACGGAGAGTGGAGTAGAACCCTGCCACGCCAGCTCCTCCCGCTTCTGAAAATCCCCCTGGTCCCCCGCCCCCTCTCTGGTCGCTGGCCTTCGTACCTTGGGTCCCACTGTCCTTCCCAGGTCTGCAGTAAACGTATGAACTCTGTTCAGGCACATGCCAGCGCTGGTCACTGTTAGCCCCTCAGGAGCCCTGTCCATCTGACTGGCCCCCACTTGGCTTCTGTCTCAGGCTCTGTTGTGTAGGAGTCGTTTGAAGGCTGATTCTGCTCTGTTCTGGGTCATCGGTTTCCAGGGTCTTGCTGGTTCTGACCTGTGGTGTGAGCAAGGCAGCGCCTCCTGACAGCCAGAGCAGTGCTGGTGTACACATTTCACCAGGGAGCTGTGCCTCTCCTGACCTGTGCTGCTGCTGGCCTGTGTGTTTGCTCTGTGGGCAACTGCCTCAGGCCAGCGTAGAGCTGGACCGTAGGAGGCTCACTGGTGAGCTCTCTATGTCGCTGCAATACGTCGACACCTCAGCAGGCGCACTGGCTCCGTTAGCCCCAGGAAGGAGGGCTCTGCCGTGAGACCAGATCCAGTGGCGCTCCGTAAATGTGTCCCCCGCACGCCTGGTGCCGATCGCATTCTTCTCCCCTGGGCCCCCTTCTCGTTTTCTTTCAGGTCTGGATGAGAGGCTTGACAAGTCCTTGCTCGATGCCTGCTGTTCGTGTGGTTTGGCGATGGCTCTTGCCTAATTAAGATTTCTCTCCCTGAGCCCCTGTGCGGTACAGGCAGCTGAAATGTCATTTCCAGCCAAGTTTGCGCTTTAAACTCTTTAAGCTGAACAAACTCACCAGCAAGGCCATGTAAGCCTCAGACGTCAGCACACTTGAGAAAAGGGTTTTCTTTTTAGCTTTGTGGACTCCTGTTTCCAGCTTCCTTCAGCTGTGATGCCTGGCTGCTGCAGAAGGGGGAGTGAGCGTGTGGAGGGAGCGTGTGGAGGGAGCGTGTGAAGATTCGGCCTGTCTCTAGGTAGTGAGTGCCAGGCCTAGGACTGGAGCCATCCTGGAAAGCCTCACCCCTGCCTCTCTGAGGCCAGCAGGCCCGGAGACCCTGAAGACCCGTGTTCTTTGTCTCCATCGCCCTCTCTCCACGTGCCTGTCTCCTTTCTCTCCTCCAACATGCATCCCTTTACTGTTCAAGCACCTCTAAAAGTGACATAGTGTGGCTGCCGCCAACGCTCAGTTTTAAACGTTAATATTTCTGCCGCATGCTCAGATCACTGCCTTGTGTCCTGCTCCAGATTCTCATAGGAAGGGGCCTGGATTAGGTCAGCTGTCCACTTGGACTTCTGTAACTACCGAGAGAGTAGTCACCTTGTACAAACAAAGCTGCCGGAAGCACAGTCCTGGGGCCAGGGGCCGGTGAGAGCTCCTGGCCTAGAATCCCTTGTTATACACACTTGGAACACCCAAAGACTTCCCACCCTGGAAAACCAGGTCACACTCATGGTGGAATTACACGATTTACTGAGTGATTCATCTTATTTTGTTTAGTCTGTTTTGTGGTTTTAAACTCTTCTTGCTATTGTAAGTAGCAGCGCCCTTTCTTGATGACATTAAACATAACAATGCCAAGACATTGATGATCATCCAGTGCTCAGATGAAGGGAGCTGTAGAAGCCCTCCACTTAAAACATCCAGCAGGAGAAACAGGACAGCCGTTCCTCAGTGACTGCTCAGCTGTTCTAGCTGAACCGCTCTTCAGTAGCTTAGGTACCCAAACTTGAATTACTGGCCCAGTGTAGACCTATTCTAAACCAGTCAAAATATAATGAGGGATTTCCCTAGCCATATAGCTAGGCTCTTCTCTGTGTAGCTCATAACTTAAAACAACCCATTATTCTAATCTACATTCTGCCATGTGGCTGGTTACCTGAGCTCAGGCATCATGTATCCGTCCTCCTCACATCTTGGCAGCTGAATCTTGCGTATTTCTCTCTATCCCAGAATCCCTTCTGCCTACCAGAAGTCCCACCCCTATTTCCTGCCTAAGATGTAGGCAATAGGTTTTTTTTTTAATTGACAAATGTTGCTTCCATTCAATACACAAGAGATTCCTTCTAAAATTCCCCCTTTCAGTCCAATAAAAACTCTTTTTCTTTTATAACGAACTAACATACAATAATGACAATTATGAAAACTGTTAGGTAAGATTTATATTAAAAATGTCCCATCCATATGCATTTGGCAATCTAAGAAAACATTCTATTACGTATCCTATCTTGGTGTATTCAGTTCTGTACCTAAATCATTTTCTATCCACCTCGTATTATCAATCTAAAAACATCTTCTTAAATCTTAAAAGAAAAACTTACGCTTAATTGTAAGACTATAACTATCTAGTCTTCAAGCCCATCGGAGACTTGAGAAGGAAATACATATCATGTAGGTGTGTAGGGTTACAGGCAAATAGCTGCATCTCTAGTCCCAAAATAGAGACTTGACAGACAGCTGGCTGCCTGGACAGTCATCCAAAATTCCTCTGTAATGCTGGAGCCTCCGTCGTCAGCTTTTTGGCCCGGCATAACTGACAGACGTATTGGGAGGCAGGAACTCCAAAGGACTTGCTCCCCTGTCTTGGCAGAGCATGGCAGTCGACTTCCCCGGATTCAAGTTTTGTCTAGATCGGACAGCATTCTGTCTGCAGTTGAGTAGGGACATGTCTTTGCCCAGTGGCCTTGCCACGTTTGAAGCCATCTCCTAATGGAGATTCTTTGCCAGTCATCATCTTTGAAGTTGAAATGGGGTGCTGCCAGGAGCTAACCTGTCTCATTGCCAGAAAAGCCCCAAGCAATGCATCTTTTAATGCTGTGTACTGTAGGTCTCTGAGGGTTTGAAGACCATCTGTCTGCACATGTGTGTTCACATAGTGTTCAATCATTATCCATCTACAGTAGCTCTGAATATGCAGCCGTTGCTTGCTTCTAGCTAGTCGCCATCAATTTAGCGTAGGATATATGTTTTGTCATAAGCTAGACTACTGACGACCTGACTGTGAGTCTGGTTGACTAACTCTGAACTTGCGTTACTTACTTATCCCACACAGTTCATAGTTGCAGCTTTTAAAAGGACTGGAAGTAAACCTTGTAGTTTTAAATGATTTGCAAAGGTCCAGTACCTTAGAAATATCTATACATATGTGTATCAAAAATAACTTAAAATTTGTATCAATATATAATAATCTATACCAGTGTATCAAATATAGCCTTAATTCTCTGTCAATATATCAGTGTATCAAATCTATACCAATGTATCAAAAATGATTGGCAGGTGCTGCCTCCGCATGACACACAGGAGAGTCCATCTACACGGGCCCCTGGAACCCAGCAAGCTCTTCTCCTGGGGGCCGCAGCCCCCAAAGAAGGCCATACTGTCAGAAGGCTCAGGCCTCTGCACACTTTTCCCTTTAGGCACCTTTCTGGTTATCTGTTAAAAAGGAAAGAGAGACAGATAGATTAGACAGACACAGAGAGATTTCCATTATTTACTCTCTGTCGAAATTTATTAACTGCCTGTTTTGTGCCAGGTCCTAGACGAGGCACAACATCCCTTGCTACTGTTGGACTCAGGAAGAATATTCTTTAAGCATTTTAGATAGTCACTTGCAAAATACAGGGGCAGAAAAACATGTCAAAACACGCGTTAGCTCATCAGCTTGTGGGGCTAGCCCTGAACACGGGCGTCATCCCAACCCCCTTGAGGCACTAGATGTAAAATAATGACGTGACACATGCGCTGTGTCATGTCCTGCATTAGATGGTTTTTTTTAATATTATTTTACTTAAATGTCCTGACAGTTCAGTGAGATCAGTTCTGCAGATCTTCATAGACGAATAAACTGGGTCTCAGACCGTGACTGATCGTATTCACTGCGCACCAGCTTCTCTTCAGTTTGCCGTAGGAAACCTGCTCAACCTTCACGGCAGCCTGGCAGCCGTGATCGCCTCTGGTTACTTTTTCACTTGTGGCGGTGCCAGGGCCTTGCCTGTGCTGGGCTAATGCTCTGGCATCTGCCGCAGCCTCGTTACAGTTGTTCTTTTAAAGGTAGACATACCCAGATCCTAGAGCATTTGTTTTAGCATGATGCATATAAGTAGCACAACTTGTCAGGCTGAGTGACTTCCATGAGGCCGTGGCAGCCACGTCCACGTTGGCCTTCCCTGGAATACCAGAAGTTGGTCGAGGCTGAGCTTCTCCCTGAGGCCTGTGTGTCAAGGCTCAGCGGCTCTTCCTGCTCATCTGTACCCTGCAGGGGAGCTGGAGTTTTGTGGCCATGTCCTGTGACGGCCTGCTGATGAGCATGCCGAGGACTGCCACCCACAGACTCTTGGCTCCAGCAGCATAACCCTACAGTTACGTTTTATCTCTCTTCCCGTCGCTCCCTATGCAATGGGTTTAAATTTGAACCCACTGACTTGCACTTTAAACCTCAGATGGGAACTGGTAAAACCTAACTCCTTGGGAGAGTGTTGGCCAGCATGCATGAAGCTTTGAAGTCAATTCCCAGAACCATCCTCAAAACTATAAAACAAAATCTTCCATGAATTGATGGGTTACAGCATGGGAAGGTGAGGGGAGCAAGCAGGGCATAGGTTACATGGAAAGGCGACTGGAAAGACTGTGTGATAGCAGTCTTTCCAGCGCGTTGGCATTTCCACAGCTCTTCAGAAACTCCTGCTTCTTGTGGCTTCTAGACCATCCAGTGGGTCCCTTTCAACTTGGAAGCCTCCTTGAGCCCTGATCATGTTTTATTTGTTTACTCAACAAATATTTATTGTGATTTTGATGTTATAGGCTGCAGACAAGACAGACAAAAAATGAATTATAGCCATGAGAAATGCTACAGGGGAAACAGAAGGCTCTGCTAAGGCAGCAGCAATGGGAAGAGAGGGAGGAGGATCAGGAAGGGGAGAGCTTCCTGGGACAGTGCTGTCACCAACACCAGGAGGGGAAGGAGCAGAAGGGCGGAGAGGGCAGGGGACAGAGTGGAGCATCCAGGAGGAGGGAGCAGCATATGTGAGTCGCTGGGGAAACAGAGCCACATGCTGGCGGAAGCAGCTCTTCCTGGCTGTTCCGAAAAGGGTTACTGACTGACTTAGAGACGGCCGCTTCTGCCTACTCCTTGTTATTCTGTGTTCTGAGATGCCGAGACCGTATTTCAAGGGGGCCACTCGGGAAGAGTAGGAGCTAGGACTGAGGGGGGGCTGGGGAACGTGGGGAGGCCTGCGCACTGACACTGGTTCTGGGGCTCTCTCTTCAGGGCTGAAGACAATCGTGGGCGCCCTCATCCAGTCCGTGAAGAAGCTGTCGGACGTGATGATCCTGACTGTGTTCTGCCTGAGTGTTTTCGCCCTGATCGGCCTGCAGCTGTTCATGGGGAACCTCCGGAACAAGTGTGTGGTGTGGCCCATCAACTTCAACGAGAGCTATCTCGAGAACGGCACCAGAGGCTTCGATTGGGAAGAGTACATCAACAACCAAAGTAGGTCCCTCTGGGCAAGCGGAAAGCTCCGCCCAAGCTTGGCAGACCCCACTCTTGAGCGACCAAAATGGTCCGGCCAGAGTGGCACAGCACGGCCAGATGTCACCCGGGAAGCCATTCCCTTATCTCCAGCGCAGGGCTGTGCCGAAGCTCTCAGCCCTTCGGTATTGTTTTTGTCTTACTTGATTTTATTTTTTGATAGGATTCGTCTGCATAGCTCTGTCTGTCCTTGAACTCACAATGCAGACCAGGCTAGCCTTGAACTCTGCCTCCCAAGTGCTGGTGTGCACCACGATGCCTGACTAAGCCTGAGCTGCTGAAAGCCAAGTGAACAATTATAAATTTTTGCATGCACCCCTAAACTTCTGCTCTAAAATTCATGCCTAGAATCTCCATAAAATGCTTCCCTTTGCTGGTTTACCTGAAACAGTTAAGCATTCAGTGTAGACAAAGCTTATGGAAGCTCTTCAGTGCTAGCACTGAACAGATCTTGTAGTCGGGATCTTTGTAATAGATCTTGTCCAGGGAATCGGATGATCTCTGAAACACCGTTTGGCTGTATCACAGTTAAGGAGTTTTAATAACTTCATTTGAGGAACCAACCACCAGGGTCTTGCCTTAAGGAGAATTTGGTGCAATGGTGTTTCTATTAACAACAAAAAAATCGCCACTAATCACTCGAGAGAAATAAAATCAATTACATAGCCACAAGAAAGCATTGCAAAGGAGATCTCAGGGACAGGGCCTTCGGGTTGAAAGCAGGACGTGCTAACTAATGGCTGGTGAGGAGTTTTAGAACGTCTTGATAAAAATATTACAAGGATAAAAGGGCACAGTTGTGTAAAAGGACAAAGAGCTCAGAAACTTATCACAGACCAACATTTTCCAGCCTGTGGCGCTCGCCCTGGGGGGCGAGTATCAGATACCCTGCAGATCAGAGTCTCACATCATGGCTTATAACAGGAAGATGGCAGTTATGAAGGAAGAACAAAATGAGTTTATGGCCAGGGCCACCACAGCGTGAGGTATCGAATGCGCTCAAGGGCCACAGTGTGAGAATGACAGCTTGAGACCCCTTGATTCAAGCAGTAGAGCCTGGCCTGCATGGCTGAACCCCTGGGGGTCAAGCGCTAGTGAGCACAGCATCACCTCAAGGGCTTTAGGGTAGCTCTCAGCTTCCGACGTGTACAGGAGATCATTAATGGGAAGAATGCTCGTCAGTTTTCCGCTGTTGGGGAAGGTTTATGTGAGCTAAAATCAATAGCTGCTTCTGCCGGCAAGGTAGGGGCTGTGTAACCTTATTCTCTCATTCACTGAGATCTGCCTGTTCACTTCCTGCCTCTCCCGACTTTTCCAGCGAACTTTTACACGGTTCCGGGCATGCTGGAGCCCTTGCTCTGTGGGAACAGCTCCGATGCTGGGTAAGCAGCTCATCTGCTGTCCTCCTTCCTCACCGCGCCGGTCATCAGTTGGACTAGACGGGCAAGGTTCTTGCTTTCTCTGTGCTCACATACCGGGCCCCACATGTGGGTCTGATCTGTCGGTGACTGGATTCTCTTCCTGTTGCATGTTTGACCATCCACAGCTGACGTTCACCACCAATCATCTCAGACTAAAATCACAGGTGCAAAAAGCGAAGGGCTAGTACGTAGCCCCCGCCTCCCGTGTGCCCTCTGACCCTAAGTCAACACACTCAGTGTAATATGGAGCAAGGACTCTGTCTTGGTGAGTTTATCGTCCAAGGGCGACCCAAAGTGCAGTAGCTCGGACATCATGGGGGAAAGGAGGGCGCTACCCTAAGATTCGGGTTCTGTTTCTGCCGCTTCCATCCAACCTACTCAAGTCTCCGCCTCCTCATCCACGACGTAGCTTTAATAAGTTATGCTCTCTTCCCCACGGGGTTCCTGCGGGACCTCTTACCTCCTACCCATGAGAGTATTTTATAAGCTCTGTGGGTGCTGATGTTTCACCCAGCCCATTGGTCCCCAAGATCTGCTGCTCTATTACCCCAAATAGTAATCAGGTTAAATGCTGTATTGAAGTAGACACTAGAAATTGTATTAAAACAGACATCTGATAATTCCAACATTGGGTGAAATTACGTAATCGATGTGGCTGAAATCCAAGTGTTAAAAGGACAGACAACTAAGAACCTAACTTCCCAGTATCTGTCACTGTCAAGATAATGTTGCTGATTTGAATTAATTAAATATTCAATTACTAACTTGACGGACTGTGCATTGATACGGATCTGTGATAGGAATAGGCACCAGCGCTTACACCGGGCACACCTAAAACCACCTGGCTTATTCCTAAAGTATAAGACCTTGGCATCCACCCACTGAGCTCCCAGAACTTAGGTGTGCACGGTTCTCGGCACCCGAGTTCTTGACTACACCAGGTTGCTGGGACTCTAGGCCTTCCCCAGATGATGGCTAGCTGTTATTTTCTTCCTCTTTCTTCTCTCTCTCTCTCTCTCTCTTTCTCTTTCTTTTTCCTTCCTTCCTTCCTCCCCCATCTTTATTTCTTTCTTTCACTTATTTTTCTTATTTTTTTCAGTTTTGTTGTTGTCCTGGCTCTGAACCTACCCGTTTCTATCTCCAGGGGCTTGGAGTAGATGTGTCTGTGTAATGTGTTGTGTCTAAGGTCATGACGGGGGTTATTTTGGGAAGTCCTAAACTCTCTTTCTCTCTCACGGCATGCATGCACATGTGGCTGTGTGCGCACATGCAGTGCATGTACGCGTTCATGTGTGTGTGCCACCAGGCATAGAACCGAGGGACTTGCAGCTCTTAGGTGACGCTGCTTTGCTGATCTGTGTCTCCCTCCCAGTTTAAGCCGCTTTCTTTCTCCAGGCAATGCCCAGAGGGGTACCAGTGTATGAAAGCAGGAAGGAACCCCAACTACGGCTACACGAGCTTCGACACCTTCAGCTGGGCCTTCCTGGCTCTGTTTCGCCTTATGACCCAGGACTACTGGGAGAACCTATACCAGCTGGTGAGCAATACCTCTTCTTCAGTCCACGTGAGGGGGCGGTGAGTTGGGGACTTCCTGTGTGCCACACTCACAGTGAGGACAGAAAGTGGGATCTGGGAATGGCACGCCCCACGTTCAGCAGGATGGCTGGACTCGGACAGCTCTCAGCCCTGTATCTTGAATGTGTAGTCATGGCCAGCTGTAGAAGCGTCCACCCTGATGGTCTCGGGCTGGCCTGGGGAGCTGCGGTCTACCTTCTGCAGGGCAGAGTTTCAGGGTTAGTGAGCTTGTTTAGGACATAGCAAACGAGCATTCGTGCAGGGCACCTTCCTCGGTATTAAAATGAGGGGGTTTCTATTCATAGGACCCTGAAGTATGGCTGAACAGCATTTCCAGAGCTATGATACGTTTGGACTTGTTCGGGAATGTGGTCCCCATCTTGTCAGGCCACACTGATGACATCTGGTGTCTCGTAATTTCATAATGAGGGAATGGGTGCTGCTGATCCATAACCTTAGAAATCCTGTGACAGTGGGGGCTGGAGAGATGGCTCTTCCAGAGGACCTGGTTCATTCCTAGCACCCCCATAGTGGTTCACAGCTGTCTGTAACTCCAAGATCTAACACTGTCACCAGACATACATGCAGGCAAACACCAATGCACATAAAGATGAAAATAAATAAATAATTTTTTAAAATCCTGTGACAAGCCATTGTTTCTCTCTGGTGAGAGCATAAAAAGTCAGTCTGTGCTTGCAAAAAAGGAGCCTCTTTAAGAGAAGCTTCTATTTCCAATTCTCAAGTCAGTTCTTACTGTTTAGAATAACAGACACTAAATTCCATTAAGTACTTGCTAACTGAAAGAATTAAGAGGAGCCAAGTCTGTGGTTATACTGGCACCCAGACACAGGGGCAGGAGGATCGCTGGGAGTTTGAATCCAGTCTGATTTATATACCAAGTTCCATACTAGCCATGGCTACATTTTGAGACCTTGTCTAAGATAGATAGATAGATAGATAGATAGATAGATAGATAGATAGACAGACAGACAGACAGATAGATAGTAGATAGATGGATAGACTGACCAACTGACCAACTGCTAGGAAATGGGATGGGTATAAGGCACCATGCAAGGGTGCTCTGGCCTTCTCGGCTGACTGTGGTCCCTGCCGAGGAACTGAGCCCGCACCGCGTTTCCATCCGGGTCCATTTGATGGAGATAACTGAGAAGATGGCCTTTGTCTTTCAGACCTTACGAGCAGCTGGGAAAACATACATGATCTTCTTTGTCTTGGTCATCTTCGTGGGTTCTTTCTATTTGGTGAACTTGATCTTGGCTGTGGTGGCCATGGCTTACGAAGAGCAGAACCAGGCAACGCTGGAAGAGGCAGAGCAGAAAGAAGCCGAGTTCAAAGCTATGCTGGAGCAGCTCAAGAAGCAACAGGAAGAGGCGCAGGTAGGAGAGTGGTTCTGTGCAACGGGCCTTCTTCATGATTCCAGTGGCCACGGCTCCAGCTGATTGCCATAGCAACTGCTCTTTTATTGAATTTCTCAGCTCAATGTTCAACTTCTGTGATGACTGGGCAGAAAAAGTTGAGCAGTAGTTTGGTTGCTTATTGATTCAGTGCTGGGAATTGAACACAGAGCTTCGTGTATCCCGAGGATTAGGGCTCCCCACTGGACGGCACCCCCAAACATGGCCACTTTTTGGTTAGGAAACCATTAGGATACCCTTAACGGGGTTGCTATGGCCAGAGAGTATTATTTCTAATTTAAAAGGAAATACAGGGCAAGGGAGAGAATTCAGCAAACCACACAACAAACCACACACACGTGAGGATCTGAGTTTATCCCCAGAGGTCACGTGAAAAGCCATGCCCAGCGGCTCACATTGCAGCCCTAGCCCTGAAAATGCAGAGACCGGGGGATCCTGGCAAGCCAGCCTAGCCTACATGATGAGTCCCAGGCTAGAGAGAGATCCTGTCCCAAAAGCAAGGTGGGTGGAATCCTAGGGTGACCTCTGGCCTCAGCCACACACACATGCCCATAAGAGCATGCATGTACGTGTGCATACACACACACACACATTTAAGGAGGTGAGAGACACAGTGAGATGGCTCAGTGGATTAAAAAAAAAAAAAAAAGCTTGCCACATGGGCCTGGTGACCCGAGTTTGATCCCTAGAACTCATGCAAATGTGGAATGCAAACACCGTTCCGACTTCATAAAAGTTGTCCCTCTGACATCTGTACACACACACAGCATACACACACCTATGTGTATATATGGGATGTGGCTGATGTGGGCAGGCTCCTCCATGTCCCTGTCTGTCAGTGGCTGACATGGCTGGCCCCAGATAATGCTCCTGACCGGGCCTGTCGCTGTGGCCCTTTCCTAGGCTGCAGCCATGGCCACCTCAGCAGGCACTGTCTCTGAAGATGCCATTGAAGAAGAGGGGGAAGATGGCGTCGGCTCTCCACGGAGCTCATCTGAACTTTCGAAGCTCAGTTCCAAGAGCGCGAAGGAACGGCGGAACCGCCGGAAGAAGAGGAAGCAGAAGGAACTGTCTGAAGGGGAGGAGAAAGGAGACCCTGAGAAGGTGTTTAAGTCAGAGTCGGAAGATGGGATGAGAAGGAAGGGCTTCCGGCTGCCAGACAACCGGATAGGGAGGAAATTTTCCATCATGAATCAGGTAAACTCCTTGCGTTGTCTCGGATAAGCCTAAAGAATCCTGATTTCTTCGTCCACGTGGCCTTGCAGCTCCCAGGCTCATCCCACACCTGTCCTTCCTCCCTCCATGGAGGCCTTAGCAGTGCTTGCAAACTCTCTCCTTCAACCCTGACCCCCTCGGTGTCAGCGAGGCAGCCCCAGGGTGGTCAAAACACCAGAAGGGATTTCTCTCCTCTCAGTGCCAAGCTGCTCCATAAGAATTGTGTCATTGCTGCTAACAATAGCTGTTGTGCAATAAGAACTGTGTGTGACTGTTGTGATAGCTGTTGGCGAAGTCTTTAGGACAGCTCATCTGAGCGTGTGTGAAACCTGATATGGTGCCACGTGTTGGTAATCCCAATACTCTGGTGGCTAGAGTGAGGGGATCCCAAATCCCAGGCCAACCCACAAAGCCAGACCCTGTTTCAAGAAAACAAGGCTTTCTCAGGCTGGGTGGGACACACCTTTAATCCCAGCACCCAGGAGGCAGAGGCAGGTGGATCTCTGAATTTGAGCACAGCCCGGTTTACAGAGCAAGTTCCAGGTCAGCCAGGGCTACAAAGAGAGACCCTGCCTCAAAAGAAAAGAACGCAGGTACCTGCAGGCATGTCTCAGTGATTCAGATCACTGGCTGCCCTTGCAGAGGACCCAGGTTGACTCCAGTCTCCCACACAGCAGCCCACAACCATCTGGAACTCCAGTTCCAAAGGATCCAGTGCCTCTTCTGGCCTCCATGGGTGCCAGGCATGCACATAGCACACAGACATAATACAGGCAAAACACCTGTTCATGTAAAATAACTAACAAAATTTCAAAATAAATAAACACAAAGAGTAGTGTGGGTAAAACATTTTTAATGCCTGCAGGCAAAGCCAGGTTTGAGAGTGGAAAACAGAAGATCAGAAATGGATCACAGCAAAGGGGAACTGGATGTAGTCGTTAGCAGGAAAGGACAGACAGGAAGATGCTGCCTGGCCATCCTAATTTCTCCACATCATAGGAAACATAAAATCTTATCAAAGGGAATAAGAGGTTGAGTTGGGCATTAAATAAGACATTGGCAGTTCAGAATCGTTTAGTTAAAAAGAAAGAGAGGGAATCTCCCTTGTGAGAGTAATTCTGTCTCTAACAAGGTCCCGGTTCTCTACCTGTGCAGTGTGGACACAGCCCATCTTTCAGCTCAGTCACTGGACCCCACCAGGCACCCAGTCCTTCACCCAGAATGAGCCAGCAGATTCCCCTCACATGTGACACTGGGTTTCTGCGGTGCGCGGCATGCCCTAGGAGCTGCCCATCTGTAAATGGCCACATGCAGGTGTTCTTCACGTCTGCGAGGAGTTGTGCCCCGGTCCCCTCCCTCCCGAAGCACAAGTCCCCATTCCAGCCTTGCATCGTGCTGCGTGTTGCTTTTGGCCGTATGTGTATTCTACCGACTTGTTTATTTCTGCCATGTCCTCTCTTCCACTGGAGGCCTAAAGCCAGCTTTACATGCGTGTCTATCCTCAGACACCGAGAGCCAAGTGGAGGCAGGACTTGTAGAGGCCTGGCTCTACATCACCCTTCTCACATCACCCTTCTCCCATCCTGCTCATCCAGGGCTGTGATTGCGGCTTTGTTGTAGCTCTCTCCCTGTCCATCCTATCACCGCGCTCCATCATGCAAACCTCCCTGCTCCTAGGCTCGGCTATTGAACACTCTCTGATTAATCTCTAGGCTGTTGCGGAGTTGCGGTGATTGCTGCCTCGCTCAGAAAATAGAACTGGGTTCTAAGATGTCCTGCTTTGCATGAAAGTGTTCATGTCCTCAAATTTCTCCATTTGGGGGAAAAAAAAACCCTATAGATTGCTAGCAGCCATGGCTGACTGCCAAGCCTGGCTTAGACTCAGACACCATGCAACGCGTGGTTCTTCGTCCTGGGCTTCCTTGCAGTTTCTTTGACTGCACTGTGCCCCTAGCCAGCCTTCCTCTGTCATACATATCTGAGGTTTAGGAATGTTCAGTTTTCCACAGCACAGTTTAGATATGTGTCTGTTTCTTCATTTCATTCCCCCCTCCCCAAGACAGGGTTTCTCTGTGAAGCCCTGGCTGTCCTGGAACTCCTGTAGACCACGGTGGCCTCAAACTCAGAGCTCTTCCTGAGTGCTGGGATTTAAAAGGCGCATACAACTGCCGTGCCCGGCTTGTCTGGATTTTCAGGGCTCGTGACAGTTTGAGCTGTTTTTGTTTTGTTGTGGAAGTTCTCAGATCTTTGTGATCTTAGAACACCTTTACATCTTTGAAAATGATTGAGGGGTCAGTGAGAAGACCCAGAGGATAGAGGACCACCAAGCCTGACCACCTGAGTTTGACTCCTGGAACCAACACCAACTGATCCCACAGACTGCATGCATGTGCCTAGCAGCAGACACACACAAAAGTGAATCTGCAAGTGAGGACCCCACACACCCTTTAAAAAAGCACTTTAGTCTATCTTATTTTAAACTATGTTTAAGAAAATTTAAAGATGCTTAGTTATGTATGCATTTTAGACTTCCACATGGTGGTATGCTAAAAATCCTTTGCTGTTTTGTACCACAGTCTTAAACCATGAATGATGGCCTCGTGCCTTATTCTTTGCCAAGCTTTGGTTTCCTGGGCTATAGAGAGCTTCCAACTGTTGACATAAAGTTAGAAGTCTTCAAATCTAGCAGAGCTGTCAGCCCACAGTAGCCCTTAGATGCTTGTGAGAAAGCAGGAATAAAGTAGCTGTCGCTTCAGTATTGTCATCAAGTAGTTTTGACCCAGTTGGGAGGCAGATTGGTTGGACAGAGATGTTCTCAGATCACACATTAAGAATCCCTGTGCTGCTGGAAAGGAAAGTGTGAGGGAAAATGAAATAGAGCAGTTAAAAGCACCTGCCATCACAGTTCCCGCAGCCCGTGGCCACAAGCCAGCGGGTGTCCACGGATTTGTGTGTGGAGGACGTCAGGTCCATCCCTTAAGTCCAGAGTGCCTCAGAGCTATCCTTCCAAGGAAGACCTACGGAAGGTCACATTTCTTAAGTAGCGATGATGTGACCCTCTGAGAAGGGCCAGCAGCACCTGGTTGGCTAACAGGAATTTTGAAGATAAAAAGTAAAAACCTACCCGTTTCCTAAAGTTGATTAGGGTCTCAGAAATTAGTAGAGCTATAGCCCTGAGACACAATGGCTATTTTATTAAATAAAATTCAATTAAATTGTCAAGTAAATAAAATATCAGTGAAACATGATCCAGTCGGGGGGAGCCAGGACATGTGAGCACGGCCAGTTTGCGGTGCGCAATCAGAATATAAGCCACTTGGCTAATTATATCTGTGGTATACAAAGCAGCCCAGCAGATACAAAGAGATAAAAAATGAGGTTCGGCCCTTAAGGACCTTGAAGATGGCCCAAGGAGGTTGACCAGCATCTGTAAAGGGCTGTTGTGCCTGGAGAGAGGGGTAAGTGCTGTGCAGGTTCTGAGGAAGTGGACAGGAGGAAGCAGACAGAATGTCCGGTGGGAAGGAAGAGGTTTGCATGGCTGGAAAGGAGCGTGGTAGCAATGAAGAAGGCAAAGTGAATTCGGCCAGCGCTGGAGGAGGCTCAGGTCCCCCGTCTGGGGCGACTTGTGGGAGCATACCAAAAGCGCTCCTGTTCTGTTCTGTCCATCTGTCTTTCTGGTAAGGCCCTCAGATTTGTGTGTGTGTGTGCCACTGCACAGTTTATTAAATTTCTCTCACCCCCATATTTGCTTTTGCATGTGCCTTTCATGTGTAACTCAACCAATCCAAAGCTACCATCCCTAGCTATTTCCTCTCCACAAGCTAGTATTCCCCTGCCCCAAGCCGCTCCAGGGCCGAGTACCCGGCATCTACGTACCACCTCCACAGCCATGTGCGGCCTCTTTGTCGTTATTGTGGAAATGGGATCTTGATGTAACGGCCTGGCCTGGTCTCAGAGTTGTGTGCCTCTCCTGCCTGAGTTCTGGGGTGACAGCACGGCCAGCTCTTCTCGCTCTGTTGTAAGACATCATCTCCCAGGCAAACTGGGGAAGGACGAGTTTCTGTCTTTTCTAGCTGTTCACGAACAGATCACTATTGTAAAATGCGACAACAATGAACGTCCAGAAGAAATTATCATATTCTTTGGTGCTGTGAGAGTGTCGATCGCCATAAAATTGCCTAGTGTTCATCTGTCTTACATAAGCCCGTCGGTTTTGTGCTCTTCCGGGGAAAGAATCAGTGATCCAGTGAGGGGCCAAGCATACGTGTAAGACGAGGGCAGGGCAGACAGGCCCTGGGCCCCTCCCAGGCCACAACTGGAAGAAGGAAGTACAGAGCTGACCACGTGTGCACCTTTATAATGGCAAGTGAAGGGCGTGCGTGCACTGAACCAGAGTTCCTGGAAAGCGAGTGTGAACTCCGGGGACTGGGGCTCTGTGCACCACAGAGAGATGGAAACTAGACACGCTTGAGCGGAGAACCAGGAATGGCCCGATCTTTAACCTACACAGCTGTGGCTGAGATGGAGCCCTGCGCCCACCGCTCCCCTCGGCTCCTCCCCACCCCCCTTCGCTGCTCTCCCCACTCACCCCAGGTCATCCTGTGAGGCTCCTTAAGGGTGTGGATGACAGGGCAATCAAAAGTAAGGGTGCCTGCAAAGTTCTCTTTAATACAGGAACCTAGACTGCACCGTGAACTTCCTGGGTTCACCTCCTCCTCGTGAGTCTGTAGAACAGTTAGAGCCAAAGGTTCACGGGAGAGCTACCTTTGTCCATTAGATCAAGTTGCAGACTCCCATAAACTGAAGGAGGTAAATCTGCAGTCTTCAGACTCTGCTACAGTGTATTTAAAGCGCCCACAGTGATAAAAATCCTTTTACTTTAAAGTGCCAACAGCGGTGATCACAGCATGGTTTTGCTTGTCCCCATTACCGTTCTGTTAGCCAAAGCTGGCTTAGCGTGTCCTGAGGGGTGCTGGCGGCCCTCCCCGAGACCCTCAGCAGCTGGGAAAGGGGCTGCGCTTGCAAGTTCACAGCACTCAAAGCGCAACAAAATGAAAGGAGGGTGAATTCGTCAGCTGGCAGGGCCTTAGAAGACATTGACTGGTGGTTTGCAATGTGGTTTCCGACATGTAACTTGGAAGGCGCTCAAAGACTTGAACGGCATTGTAACACAGTTCTTTCCAAGATAATATTTACACGAATAAGGCTTTCCTACACTTAATCCATCACTAGGAGTGGGTGAGCCTCGGCTCCGGTCACCCTGTCAGCAAGCTGGGCGGCACAGATGGACCCGCAGCCATCTCACTGAGAGGTGCCCTTTAATGACTGCTTTTAAGGTGATCGCTTGTCAAATATACACTGTAAGCAGGTAGCTTGATGAATTACATTCATAAAAATTACAATAAAAACTGAATCCGAGGGGATTTGAAAATGTCTTAGGGACTCGTGGTCATGGAGGAAAGTTTTACATTTTAGGGCCGCTCTTTTTCTTTTGCAGAGAAGTATTCAGTGCTGATCAATAGAATGCATTTAAGCTTAAAAACGCACTTTCAAAACGTTTTGGAGGAAATGTACAATGGAATATGCACTGAAAGATTTTAAAAAAATGAAAAACTTGGTAAAGAGTCTTACTTCAAAATGTCAGTGCTGGGAATTATTTAATTTACAACTAACTAAACTGGGAAATATATTAATCCCAACTCCTCAAACTTGCGGTTTTAAAAGGCGTCGGCCTTAAAGTGGAGGGGCCGTCACATGGCCGCTGAGTGAAGAGTGGCGCTTCGCGGCGGGATCAGGGCTGCGGGGGTGCGAGGGCAGGGCCGGGGTGCTGCTGTCTCACGCCTCCCCCTTCTCTCTCCCCTCCCCCATCCTCTCTCAGTCGCTGCTCAGCATCCCCGGCTCGCCCTTCCTCTCCCGGCACAACAGCAAAAGCAGCATCTTCAGCTTCCGGGGCCCGGGCCGGTTCCGGGACCCCGGCTCGGAGAACGAGTTCGCGGACGACGAGCACAGCACGGTGGAGGAGAGCGAGGGCCGGCGCGACTCGCTGTTCCTGCCCATCCGGGCGCGCGAGCGGCGCAGCAGCTACAGCGGCTACAGCGGCTACAGCCAGTGCAGCCGCTCGTCGCGCCTCTTCCCCAGCCTGCGGCGCAGCGTCAAGCGCAACAGCACGGTGGACTGCAACGGCGTGGTGTCGCTCCTCGGGCCCGGCTCGCACGTCGGGCGGCTCCTGCCTGAGGTGAAAATAGATAAGGCAGCCACGGACAGCGTAAGGAAGGGCGCGGTGGCCCAGGCTAGGCATGGCAGCCTCCGCCCCAGCCCGCCTCCCCTCCCCCTCTCCCGCCCCCGGCCCTTGCCTTTTCCTTACTCACGGCTTCCTCCCCTGTTTCCCGCTCTCCCTCTTCCAGGCTCCGTTTATTTCACCCTTTTCTCTTTCCCCCCGTCGGGGCAGACCCGGCTGCCCTATGCCTCTCCCCGTACTCACCCGCTTTGACTGACCGCAGGATGGAATGAAAATGACCAGTTGCCCCCAGCGGGGGGTGACCCAGTCTGAGCCGGTTTGAAGTCGCTGCTGCTCTGCCATCTTATTCCTCCCCTCCCCCCTCCCCCACTAGGAAAGCAGCTTGGAATTTAAAGACCTGGCTGCTTCTAAAGTATTTATTCTTGAATAATTCTTTGCCCCTCTATGAGGATGGGACGTGATTTTTGCCCCCAAAGAGGAATGATCGTGGCATGCTGCTGGGGAGGAGGCTGTGCCAGGCCAGCAAGCCACGAGTGCTTAAAGAGCCAGGAACTGGACCCAGCGGGTCAGAAGGGACTGGACTGGGAAGGAATGAGGAGGGCGACGTGGGAGGTTGGGGCGGGAACACAGGTGTGGGGGAGGAAGGAAAGAGAAGGGAAGCAGAAGATAAATTTAAATGGAATCGGTTGTCAGGCTACGGGAGTATCAGTTAATAGCTTCAGAGAGTCAGTTTTCCACGGGCGCAGTAGCGGCTCCCTCTTTGGACAGAGCATCTCCACATTTCTTTAAATTCTAAGCTCTTTTTAAAGTTTTAAATTATTATACCTCCGTAGCCCTAACCCTGCCCAGCTCTTTAACGTCTTCAGTGCCTCTGCAGCTGGTGTGAGCCCTGGAGGCAGCATGTCCATCTGTCCTTCTAACACCTCAGTGCCTCTAACAGCATGGAGACGGCAGCCCGTGGATTAGCATGGTGCATGTGGGGAGGGAAGTGGGAAGTCGGGGGTGAAACAGTCCGAGTGATCTGTACAAGGACTTTCGGGCAGCTGTTGACTGTACAGATAAAAATCCAAAAGACGGGTCTTGGATATGTAGAGGACTTTGCCATGCCCATGGCCCCTGGTTCCCTCTCCCGCTCTACACCCTGGTGGAAGGAAATGGAAAAGAAAAGAAAATTTCAAAAGTCAGTTTGAATGTGTTTGAGGTTGCCTCATCTGTCTCTGCCCTTTTATTTAAAAGGAAGATGCTTTGTCCCTAAGAGACTCAGCTTTTCCTAAGCTACAACTCTCCTTCCTTTTCTGTCTGTGGCGGGGCACTTGGAGGTGGCGCTGGGATCCAGCCGGGGCCTTTTACATACTAGGCCAAAGCTCTCCCCCGGGCTACACCTCCAGACCAGCCTATAAATTATCTTTCCAAGCATTCCCCTCTGAAAACCCAGTCCTTTCCTTTCGGTTGGTTTTAACATCTTCCCTGTTTGATCAGTTGGCCATTGCCCTTCTGGAGACTTGGTTGCTTAAAGGTAAAATGAGAACTAACAGCAGACAGTGGCTCAGGCCCTCCAGCCCAGAGCTGGCCAAAATGAAGGTATCGCCATTGTATTACATCTTTATTTGATTTTCACTGATTCTGCATCGTGGGTAAGGTTTGGCTTGATACCTACGTAGTTATATTCTCTGGAAAAACAGAAGGGCGGACACCAGTGGAAAGTACGGATAGGGCCTGTGGCAGTGCGGTTGGGGCAGCTCAAAAATTCAAATATTCAAAGCCGGATCAAACTTTGATATATTGGAAGTTTTACAGTTTATAGGCCAAATGATGAAGCTGGCTTTTTTCCTAAGGAATGGTCTGAGAGGTGTCCAGGGAGTGTTTAAGGCTGGAGCAGGCTTGAGGGCTGGCTTGGGTTGGGTTGGGTTGGCTTGAGTTGAGTTGGGTTGGCTTGGGTTGGGTTGGGTTGAGTTGGGTTGGCTTGGGTTGAGTTGGGTTGGCTTGGGTTGAGTTGG